CTCTCATGGAGCATCAAGTGTGAATTTTCAGACCATTTTTTTATTAATTGGTATAAGAGTATGTACAGCTATGGAAACTTCTACTTGCATCTTCGGTTTCATTAAGGACAAGCTAAAGCTGTTACTGATCTCTCAGCCAAATTTGGCAAAATATATTTTTTACCTTCCGAGTTATAACAATTCCTTCTCCTTTATGGGACCAACATAGTTAGTGACTTCATGAAGTAGTTATTGACTTGAATTTAGTGCATTGTTTTATCTTAGACGCGCGCGCGGGCATCTGTGTGTTTGCATATATTTCCTTATCTATTTGTTTCTTTGTCCTTTTCTTATTTGGTTTCTTTTTTACTTCCTTCTCCATTTAGATGAGTTTCACAAAATAAAACTGGTTGCCATGTTCTTTCATTAGTGAAGTGTTCATTCGTATAATAGTTAATATCACCATTGCCTCAAATGTTTAAATTGACCTGGACAGCTACTTGTCAGGTAATGGGGATACAAGTGGAGCACATCAGCAAGCCATAGGGGTCAAAGTTCCTAAGATATATTGGAATTTAACCCGCAAATCGGTCCTTACAATGGAATGGATTGATGGAATTAAGCTCACAGATGAAAAACGTCTGAGAGAGGCCTGTCTAAACCGGAAGCAACTCATTGATGAGGTAATATATACAGGACACCTCGATAAGTAGTTGGACCTCCTCTACTGTGTAGATGTTTATGAGCTTCTAATTCATGCTATATTAGCACGCGTTTACTTGAATATTCAGCAAATGTTTGGTTGATATAGGGTTTGTATTGCTCTCTGAGGCAATTGCTGGAGGTGGGATTTTTCCATGCCGATCCTCATCCTGGAAATCTCGTTGCTACTGATGGTGGTTCACTTGCTTATTTTGACTTTGGCATGATGGGTGATATCCCACGGCACTATCGCGTGGGACTCATTAGAGTGGTGAGAGACTTTGAGAGCCATTTTCAGCTGTCGCATTGCATGAAAACAATTATCATTGTTTTTGACCCATTCTAGATATTATTGTCTTTGTCAGCTGGTGCACTTTGTGAATCGGGATTCCTTTGGTTTGGCCAATGACTTTCTCTCTCTCGGATTTATCCCTGAAGGGGTTGATGTACGGTCCGTGTCAGATGCTTTGAAGGCATCCTTTGGTGATAGAACCAGACTATCTCAAGATTTCCAGGTTCGGTTATTTTGCTATTGTGTTCAGTGAATGATAACTTCAATCTGTTGATAATGGTATTCCTTGGAGTTCAGGGAATAATGAGTCAGTTGTACGATGTTATGTACGAATTCAATTTCTCCCTTCCGCCTGACTATGCGTTAGTGATAAGAGCCCTGGGATCACTTGAAGGAACCGCAAAAGTTTTGGATCCTGATTTCAAGGTTGTGGAGAGTGCTTATCCTTTCGTGATTGGTCGACTACTGGTGGACCCCAGTCCTGACATGAGGAAAATATTGGGCCAACTTCTGATCCGAAATGACGGTTCTATAAGATGGAATCGGCTCGAAAAACTGGTGGGGCATTCTCTGTTACAAACTTCCTGCTTTTGTTATCTGCCTATGCCTTTCTTTTCTTTCCACACACACTCACACACAAATGTAGAGATACACAAGACATCATTTTAAGTTAGAAAAAAGTGAGAGAGGACGTGCTTGGATACAAATATATCCGCTCAAAACGAGTTTTTGGTTAATCGGGGTTAATTTTGGAAAAATTGGTACAGTTAGTTAGTTAGTTGTTAGTGGAACTTTGAGTTAATATTAAAATAATATTTTAAATAAAATAATTAAAGTTGATTTCATGTCAAAGTAAGAGAGATATTGTGAAGTGATAGTTAGTTAAAATTATGTGAACAGATGAATAGTGGAGTAGTAGAGTAAAGTTGATGTGGTGTGTAAAAATGATTGATTGATATAATTTAATTATATTGATAACAGTGAGGATAGTGGAGTTGGGTTAGAGTTGGGTTAGATTTTGAGTATGAATTGAGTATGAATTGCGGCAATTAATATACAAACACTCCCTAATCTGATTTATTTTAATATATTACTTGAAACAAAAATAAATCTATTAATTTTTTCCATCTTCTCACTGATGTTTCAGATAGTAGCAATATCCGAACAAGCTTCAGAAACCGACGAAGCCTCGTCAAAACCTCAAGGGAGTCCTCCGAATCCACTCGGGTGGAAATCCTTCAACATGCGTGCTGTCGTGGCAGCTACTGAGGACATTTTCCAATTCATTCTTTCCAAAAAAGGCTCACGTGTACGGGTTTTCCTCATCAGAGACCTTCTTAAGGCTGCCGATACTTTCCTCGAACATAAAGTAGTAATCACTTGCTTTTCTGACGAGGATTTACGAACGCCAGAGCTGGAAACTGAGGTTTTGCCTTTACGAAAAAAAAAAATATTTTAAATTTAATTTTTGAAGATCTTATTGTTCGTGGATCGTCTTATTTTGAAGGTATTCCTCGGTTTCTCTATTATTATTCAGGATCAAGAAATGCTGTCGAGAGTAGTTAAGGGGTTCCAATCGTTCAGACATGCGGTGAGGTTAGCTCCAGATGTCTGGACTGCAATGGCTATACGACTCGCTTTAAAACCCGAGTTTCAAAGCTTTGCACTCGACGTTATATCAGCTTTGCTGGCACACTCGGGTCAGAAATTGCCCGATTCTGCGTTGATCTGTCTATCGAAGATGATTCATAATTTAGCCAAGGACCATCCTCAAAATTCATAGCATCAAAGATATTTCTCTCTCTCTCTCTCTCTCTCTGTCTCTCTCTCTCTCTCTCTCTCTGTAGATAAAAATACAAAATGGTACAAATAGTTATGAATAATAACACAACTAACCCCTGAGGTTACTTTAGATTACAAGAAGGTCCAGTAATTATTTGAAACTACAGGTAAAATCACCTTGAGTTACCATTTCAGTTTTCACCCTTCTTTTTTATACTGGGTTAGGTTATGAAAAGCTGTGTCTTGTCAAAGATATACGCAAAGATATGATCTGTTGAAAAAGAGTTCAGCAGCACCTGGCAAGTTGGATTCGCAGACAAAAAAAGGTGTGTGGGGTTTTAAAATGCCAGAAAATCTAAGGAATTGTTATTGCGGCTGGAGAAATTAGACTATTTTACTTATTGCATCCTGGGCCCCTGCAATTTTTCTTTTTAGGAACCAAGACTCGAGTGGGTTTGATAAAACTGTTTATGAATTTCATTTTTTTATTTTGCATATATAAGAAATAATACTTCTCTTCATAAGTAACTAGGTACTTTTTGCAGTTGTATTGTTAAACGAAATGAGCGCTCACAAGCACGGCTCATGAAGTTCATTAAGGCTTTAGCTCATTTAGTGAACGAACTGATTTGATCTTGATTTGCTAAGGCTTGAAAAAAAAAAAGTATGTAATTTTCTATAGGTCGGCTCGTTAAGGCTCGAGTTTGCTCGAGCTCAGCTAATTAATATTAATATTGATAAACAGGTTGATCTTGAACTCGTTATCCCCTCATTTTAGTTAGCTCGACTTGATAAAAGCTTGAAATTGAGCTCGAGTATGAGAATCTCGAGCTCGTCTTGACTCGTTTGACAGTGAAAAGAGTTCATAATTCATACGAAATGTTTTACTTTTGCTAGATTTTCGTGCTTTAGTTCTCAAATTTTCAGTAAGAAATTATAATACAAAGGATCCCTTGAAAGAGACGTGCTATAATTCATCTTCTACAGTGATAAATAAGTTGGTCATATTTTCAGTGCTTGAAAATGCATCACATTTAAAGTTTGCTTGGAATATTGCGGAATGTGTCCTAATTGGAAGTTACGATCTTGACTCTGCGTCTTAATATATTTAAATAAATAATATTTGTTACAACGTACCATTAAAGCAATTGTGGCTGACTTTATTACAATATTATATTCTGATTATATAGAAAACCATTGATTTTTGCAAATGTAAAATTACATTTATGATATCCACCCACTTATATACAAATTCAATATACCTTTCTCAAGCATTGTAACAAAAATCCCTTTTTAACATTGATAAAATTTGATTTTGTTTGATGTGCTAGCATAGATGGACCAAGATTAGTTTCACTTTTGTTTCTCCAAAAGAATTATAACTCCCTGTCTGCAGGATGTGTCGTGCACGGTGCACCTACACCACTGTACTATTAATGATGGGTAGTAAATTAGTAATTAGGGGTGTGAGAGAAAAGAAAATAATAATAATATATCAATGGAGATGGCATTTTTTTCCTCTCTGCATGCGTGACAAGTGTTTGGCCATGGCAATTGCAGTTGCAATTGAAATGTTTCGTGGCTTGATCAAGACCCCCACACCCTTTTTTGTTATTAATAAAATAATGATAGTTATATTTCATTACATTCTTATATTTTCATNAAAAAAAAAAAAAAAAAAATCATTTTTTTAGACATTTGGTGGATTGCGAGGTTTATTGATGATTGAATTAGCTATATAACTAATTCAATTAGCATATTTGACAAGTTAGATTATTACTTATATATAATTAATTATTTTATATGTAAAAGTAACTAAAGGTACAATCTTTTGTAACAACAAACTCATAGTCGTATCCAAAAGTTTATTTCAAACCACTAGTCAAACAGTAAAATTCAACATTGTAATGCGTACAACCTCTATTTAATTTAACCTCAAAAATGCTAATTACTAATCAATATTGCATTATCAAAATAAATAAATCTTGGGTTTATACTTCTTTATAAACTGCATTCGATATTTTAATAATATTATTCAAGTATAGATTTTGGTTGCTCAATTGACTATTTGACTTAGTTAGCAGTTTAACTTACCCCCTCTTATAAAATAAAATAAAGTGACATCTAGATAAATAGAAATTCACAATTATTGAGAAAAAATAAAATAAAATAAAGAGGTTACCATTAGATGATTGCATTGAATTTATTTTTATATTTTCCTTTGATTGAAAGTTTGAAACTACTCCAATGATTAATTTTATTACAATTATATCCACTATTTCTCTTGTTCCCTTTTCCATTTTCTTTTCCATCTTTTAAAGTTGTCTATTTCTCTCTACTCTCATGGCTTTTTCTTCGCCTGGTTTTTCCTTCAGGTCTCCTCATCTCCCAAGGACCCAAGATCCAATTTTTCTGTTACATACATGAATATTCGTACATGGGTTAATATAGTTTTTTTGATTTTTTTATTATTGTTGTTTTACTCATTCTTTTGGAGAGGAAATGAGAAAAATAAAAATGTTTTTTAGATGTTTCTGCAATTTGTGGTGATCAGAATTGAATTCCCAAATCAAGGGATAAAAAATGAGGAAGAAAAATTAAAATGGATAATTGAGAATTTGCAGCTGTTCATGATGTTACATTCACAGACAAACAAAATATGATGCTTCTTTTTCCTGTGTTCTTTTTTTCCTTAAATTACTTTTTTCATTGTATGCTATTGTAATAATAGGATAATGGGTTTGTACAGTTTGGAGATGATAAAGATGGGATGTCGTTCTGTCCTTTTTCCCTTTTCAGGCTTGCTATTTATCGACATGTTTATCAGATCTGTTCTAAATATGAAACTTGATTTGTGATTTTCCCTTTTTTTTTTTTTGTTTTCTGAAACTATTTTCTGATTTTTGTGTTATGAGCAGGTTGGATTGGAACTGAAATTGCCGCAGTTTTTGTTGTGGTGTGATATCCTAATATTTGCTTAATTCAACATTTTCAGACAAAAAAAAGAAAATCCCCTTTCTGGGGTTAGAATTCTTTTCTTGACTAAAAAATATAGGTTAGGTTGGTGATTCCTCTGTAATAATCAGAAAAGATTGAAAAGCCATTACATTTTGTAACAAAGATAAAAATTGGGCAACATGGGTTATCTGAATTCAGTGTTGTCACAATCATCGAGCAAAGTCCACGTCGATGATGCTCCGGTTAGCGGCGGTGGCCTAAGGTGATCGTCTAATCCCTTTGTTTTGTTTGGATATTTTTATATATCTTATATATATTTGAATTTTTGATATGTTTGGAGCTCATAACAGCTTCATATAGCCTTGAGGTTTAGCCTAATTTCGAATATCCGGGTGTCCTTTGTAATTACAGACACTCCCTTGATTGATCGTTTCTATTTTACTACTTGGCATCTTTTTCGGGTATAAACGTAACGTCAAAGGAGAGTTCATATCACTTTTTAGAGGGGTTTTGTAGTTTTGTACGGTAGAGTTTCTTGTAATTGAGCTAACTTTGGGTATACTATTTGAAAATATCTTGGTTAGATATGCATTCATATTGTTTTCTGTTCATTTAATGTCAAAATGACTGTTTCGTGATTAAAATCACCGAATTAAGATTTATGATTAAGGAAACAAATCTTAAACCTGAGTTGATGCCTTTACTTTACTATCTCTCTTCGTTTGGTTGTTTTTTCTTTTGTCTTAACTACATATGGTGCTCAGTTAATCATCAGGTGATTTGGTTGAGTTTTTGTTTGAATGTGAAATAATAAAATGTGGTTTATAATTGGCTATCCGATTCTGGCTTTGTATTGGTTCTAATTGGGTATTGACTAGATTTATGGATGTTGTGTTTCGGTTAGTATGATCGGTTGGTTGGATAACTGAAATTGTCGTGTGATAACTGAAATTGTCATATTCGGAAATATTCGAGATTATTATATTTTCATGATGCAAACGAAGCTTTAAAAGCGGTTCCTTGTCGTATCTAATGTCGCATGTTTTTTTTTTTTTCTAATTAAAAAGTGCTCTATTTGCTAACTTTTACCATTTGGCAAGCAGTAGATGGTACAGTACAGTCATGAAGGAAAAAGAATGCATTTTAATATTATTCAGCTGATTTAATCCAAAAAAGGATTCTGTAATTGTCTCCAAATCGTTTTGTATTTTTTTGCTTGTTTGCCTAACGACTGGTGTATGTCATTACCACTGTGCAGTCAGAATGGAAAGTTCAGCTATGGATATGCAAGTTCTCCCGGCAAAAGGTCTTCAATGGAGGATTTTTACGAGACAAGAATTGACGGCGTAGATGGAGAAATCGTTGGTCTCTTTGGAGTCTTTGATGGTCTCTTTCTCTCTCTCTCTCTCTCTCTCTCATAAAATGTAAATGCCACTATGGATTGAATTTTTTTCCCATGTAGTGTAGAAACTTGAAACTTTATTGCATTATGGTAATGTTTCGAATTTTTTCATACTGCATTAAGATGATGCTATATTTGGGTCATTTTATGTATTATTATGTATCTGCTTTAAATAATAAAATAGGTCACGGGGGAGCTCGAGCTGCAGAATATGTGAAACAAAATCTTTTCACTAACCTCATCAAGCACCCGAAGTTTATATCCGACACCAAATCTGCCATAGGTATAATAATCTCCTTGTGAATGCTCTTTAAGTATATATATATATATATATATATAGAGAGAGAGAGAGAGAGAGAGAGAGGCGAGAGAGAGAGAGAGAGAGATAATAGTATAAATATATAAATAAACTTTTGATCTCTTTTTCTCCAGCTGATGCATACAGCCACACAGACTCGGAGTTTTTGAAATCGGAGAACAATCAGAACAGAGATGCTGGGTCAACTGCTTCGACCGCTATCCTAGTTGGCGATCGTTTATTGGTGGCGAATGTTGGGGACTCGAGAGCTGTTATTTGCAGGGGTGGAGATGGTAAGACGTTCGAGTTTTAGTGTAATCCCCCCAAATTGAAAATGTTGTTAAAAAGAAAAATAAAAAAATAATAATAATAATAATTACATGATAGTTAATTTGTTTTGTATATTACAAATATATGCTCTCTGTTCAAAAAGTTTGAAATAAAATATAACTTGATCTGGAAATGAGACGTGCTTGAGTTCGTTCGTTCGATCTTGTGGAATTTTTTATTTTTTGACATAGTTGACTAGCTTTTNATGGTTTTTATGGTTGTGTTTTATTTTACAGCTATTGCTGTGTCTCGGGATCACAAACCGGACCAAACAGACGAGAGACAAAGAATTGAAGATGCTGGAGGTTTCGTGATGTGGGCAGGTGAGTTTTTTCAAAAAAATCCAATTATTTGTATCTAATCACTTTTTTTAATCTCAAATTTAACTCATATTATCAATATAATTAAATAATATGACTCAATCATTCTTACACATTACATCAACTTTAATTCACTATTAATTCACTCACATAATTTTAACTAACTATTACGTCACATAATCTCTCTCATACTTTTACATCAAATGAACTTTAATTATTTTATTTTAAATATTATCTTAATATAAAACTCAAAATCCTACTAACAACTAACCATACACTGTTTTCAAAATTAATCATACCAAACCAAAAAATCTAAACTAAATCAAAACATCTTATATCCAAGCATTTTGTGTCTCTATGTTTGTGTGTGCTCCCATTTTTTCCAAATTTCGTCAATTTTTTCTCTAAAATAATTTTCTTGTTCAATCTTCATTGGATATTCTGTACAGGGACTTGGAGAGTTGGAGGAGTGCTTGCTGTTTCTCGTGCATTTGGTGATAGACTTTTGAAGCAATATGTAGTTGCTGATCCCGAGATTCAGGTGTGTAATTTTCAGAAGCTCACACTAAAAATAACAAATTCAATATAATGAGAGAAACACGAACGTATTTTATCATTGTGATTTCGACATTGTTCGAACGAAATAGGCTTATGTTTGTATTGTATGCAATTGATCCGTTATCATCTGAACCAAATTAGCATTTTTCAGCCTAAAATTGTCCTTGCAAAAATTTACTCATCGATAATGCTGACTTGTGGCTTTTGAAATTCTTCTTTCTTGACATTATAATTTTAACATAATTTGTATTACGTTTATTTTTACTTTCCTTTTTGCCTGTTTTATATAACTTGACAATTTTGTTACTGATCCTTTCCACACAGGAGGAAAAAGTCGATGACACACTCGAGTTTCTTATTCTTGCAAGTGACGGGCTTTGGGATGTGGTTACAAATGAGGTATGAGATTTTGGGTAGATTTCTATATTTGTGCAGGCACACTAATGGTAATGATTGAAATGTGTTTTACTTAAGAAGGTAAAAAATGCAATATGGATCAAACATTGAGGTTTTTCTTGTATTGTCGATGCTCGCCCTTACGTTAAAAGTCCCAAAATTACGCAACTACTACCCCTTTGAAGGGTGCTTACTATTATATTTTTGTCAACCTAATATTCATGAAATATTTTTTGCTCACGAAGAGAAAAAAAATCCGAGGCAGATTGTTTATTTTTCTTGCAATGTCGAAACCCTGTCACATTTTCTTATAAATAGTAAATACCCCAATTCTCCGGTTTCCCCTCGAGCAAATTGGATCAAGATTTCGTGTTTCCACACCAAGTATCTTACAATATATTTCTCCTACCGAATTTGAATTATTATTATTATTTTATTTTATTTTTTTTTTTCAGGAAGCTGTGTCCATGACTCGGCCAATCTCGGATCCCGAGGAGGCTGCCAAGAGGCTAATGCAAGAAGCACATCAGAGGGGCAGTGGTGATAATATCACAGTTGTTGTCGTTCGGTTTTTGGGCGATCAAGAAGATGTGGGCCCGTCCAATAGCTCGGCTTAAAAAATCATGCGATTTTATTTTATTTTTATTCTTTTTTTCTCCTCTTCTCTCTCTCTTGGCCAGAAAAGTTCGGTGCCTTCATCCGGTTCTATACTTAATATCGCGTAAAAATCGTATAAAAACTGATGTTAAATGTTTGGTTGCTAAGGTACTTTTGAGTTTGAACTTTGAACTGTCGAAGTTTGTGTTTGCTTACTTACAGCCATAGGTTTGTAGATTTCATGGATTTCTGTGTGAAATGGATTGTAAGATAATTGTTGTTTGTTTATAATGAATTCTTGGCTATTTATTTTAAAAAAAAAAATGGCATAATATTGAGGTGGTGCAGGTGATTTTCTGTTTGTTATTTTGTTATATTTGTTGTTTTTGGGTGAATTAATTAATTGGAATAAGTTTTTCCTTATAGTGGATTTTGGATCTCTTTTTAACTTGAGTTTGGAGTAAATTTGTTCAATTTTAAAGTAATTTTAACATGGATGCATTTAGCAAAGTTCTTCACCTGAGTAATTTTACATGGATCATGGATGCATTTCCTATTCCCATATGGTTTGGGATGTGATTNTTTTTCATTTCATTGGATAAATGACGTGTTTATAATGACGTTATAACTGTACAATGAATGAGACATAAATTAAAACGCATTGGAACGTAAATTTATAATGGGAAATCTTTTACAGTTAGGTTATTTATTGCTGTTTTTCTTATTTTACATTCAATCATACCTATATTAAAAATATTAAATAATGTATGTATTTTTAATTTATCATAAACAATTTATTCTCTTAATAATATTAGAATATTATGTGATTAAGGGTGTTTAATGAAAAGTATAATATATTTTTATTATTTTCTATACAATACACTTATTTTTATGCTTAATTCTTTTGCGAGGTGGCTTAAATATTAGGCATGCCGCGGGTCAAGTCGTCATCTTACTTTATTAACAAAAAAATGAATATTTATGATATGCAATGTCTTATTTTTGTTTTTTTTTTAATGATATATCTATTGAAATAATATATAAGTCTAATTGTTAGGTCTTAATGAAAGCCTATTTGATGTTTAACCGAACATATGGACTTAATAATATAGTTATTTAATTATTTATTTTATATTTAATATGAAAATTATATATGCCCCGGGGTCGTTCAGCAATTTAATCGATTCAATTTGAAGGGTAGTTTTACTATTTGTAGCCAACATGATCTTAAATCTGTGCAACTTTATTAATTAAGGATTTCCAATTGAACCTCAACAAATCTCGAGTTAGAGACACATTCCTATTTTAAATGGCCATATTTCTCTAAAATAGGAATATAACCTGGAGTATGTACATTATTATACTTAGACATACCATAAAAATAAAACAAAGTCGTATTAATATTGTACTTGAAATAAAAAATTTCCTATAAATCAGCTACACAAAATAATAAAACAAAGTCCTTCCTATTTCGAGACATACCATAACACCAAAACAAACTCTACTAATAAACAAAGCCTAAACCAACGAAGCTTAGGACAATCAACAAAACCCAACACACTATAAAACTCCATAGCACTCCTTCAAATTTTCCCTTGCAAGACTCAAATACACACTCGAAAAAAGGAAAAACACAAGGAAAAAAAAAAAAGGCATTGTATCTTCCTCCAAGTCATGACCTCCCAAGAACTCCCTGATGACGTGGCGTACGAGATCGTAAGCCGAACGTGCCTAAAAACAGTCGACTCGTGCAAGGCCGTGTCGAAGAATTGGCACAATATGATCTACGAGACGAGCTTCCTTCCACTTTACTGCGCCCGAACGAAAAACGTGTCCGGTTACTTCCTCAAGGACTACAAACACAACAAACACGTAACCGAGTTCGTGTCCCTCGACGAGAAGCAAGAGCCCGAGTGGGCCCAATCGTTCGTGGGCAAGTTCCTCGGCCCCAATGGCCATATCGTGGCCTCGTGCAGGCAAGGCTTGTTGTGTTGTGCCAAACGGTTGGGCCGAAACACGAGGTACTACGCGTGCAAGCCCACGACAGGTCAGTGTAGGCGCTTGCCTACTCCGCCTAGGCCTTTGTCGACCGATGCTTGTACTTCCATTATGGTCGTGAGGTCGAGCTCGAGCTCCAAGTTGCGGTACAAGATTGCTCATTTCGCCGGTATCTTTGACGAAAAGTAGGTGTCTAACATTAGACGAACGAAAATCGTGAATATTTTCCTTTTCTGTGTTTATAACTTCAATTAAACAACTATTTGTTTTTTTATGATTAGGTATCGAGGGGAGTACTTCTATTCGTCCGAGTGCTTCCTATTCGACTCGGACGATTGGAAATGGCGGAGAATCGAGAACGTCCGCATGGCGTGCGGGGAGTTTGTCGGTTTCTGGCTGGCAGTCACGGCCGCCGGCTCGATCTACTGGCTCACGACCCAAGACAACGTGCTCGAGTTTCGCGAGGCGGACGAGTCCTTCCGGAAGTTTTCCCTACCGAGCCTCACACGAGACTACAAGGAATACGAGGCGAAGCAACTTGTGGAGTACCGAGGCAGATTAGGGTTCGTGTGCTTGAGGAAAAACGACGATTCTCTCGAGCTTTGGGTGAAAGAGCTCGACTCTTGCAGTGGGGCCCGGTGGAGGAAGGAGATGGAAGTGCATATTGGGCGGGTCGAAATGTACGAGTTTAAGTTTGAGTTTTGCAATGCCGGGATCTTGTTCATGAAAGCGTTTTTGGAGGCCGTTTTTTATAATGTCGAGGACTTGAGTACGAGTCGGGTGAGACTCAAACGGGCGTACAATCCAACCTCGATTATTCAGTTTCGGTCGGATTTTGAACCTGTGGAGCTTGGCGGGAGGAGGAGGAGGAGGCCGACCTGAAAGGGTGCACGTGCATTATGAGATGTATAGCTTTACGATTCCTTTTGTCGTACATAAAAATTATCGATCGTCTGCAATTTCCATTTATCGAATTATCGACTGTTCTACTTCGTTGGGCAGTCGACAGAATACATGTTTGCCATAACTGTCACAAGACAGAAAATAGTCTTTTCACTGTTTTCAGCTCTTTCATAAAAGATATGCGTGCAAATTGTAGAAAATTTTCAGATTGTAATCTGCAACTACTGCAGAAATGCGCAAAAATGACGTTAAAAAAAACACAGCAAATTCAATACCGGGATCTTAAAATGTACCAGATAATGATCACATCATCTTCAACTTCGACAATTCAAACCAGTCATTCAAGAAAGGTAGAAAAATGATACATGGCAATCAGGGTAGCGTTTGAAACAATCTCCAATACGAATAAAGCCAATTTTCCACAAGCACTTTATCCTAAATGTTCGTTTGAGATTTTCCCACNAATAGTCTTGAAACCTAGAGAATGCCGCCCCTGAGAGCAAGGACCAGGTGAAGAACAGAGCCACCTTCAATGTTGTAGTCTTTGGCTGTTTTGTCATCTGCAAGCTGCTTCCCAGCATATATAAGCCTACCAAAAGAAAAAAAATGGGGAAAAAACATTTATTTCATGGTCTGAATATACTTGATATAAGAAACATAAGCTTTATGAAACAGGGAGATATCACCAAAAGAAGGAAATTGAATTTTTTTTAATAAATGATCTCGGATCTGTAAATGGAAAAGTACTGCCGAGGATACAATACCTTTGATTCTAGCATTCGAGGAGTAAACAAATATGAAACATGGAATATATAGATTCTAATCGACGAGTTACGAGTATACAGCGAGACCCATTATTTTCTTAAATGTTTTTTCAGATGATATACGTAAATGAAACTCAACCCAAAATTTCAATGAAAACATGTGCCCAACACAAACCAACTAATTTTATTTTTTATTTTTCTAAAAGGCAATTAGGATTTTCAGCAGCTGTAACTTTCAATTATAAAATCGAAATCATCGTGTACCTACTTGACAATGGGGTTATATTACGCAAGAAAACAAATCAAATACTTTCTGAGAGCGAGGGGAAACCTTTGCTGCACAGGAGGAATGCCTTCTTTCTCCTCAACACGCTCCTTAATCCGGTCAATGGTATCAGTCGGCTCGATATCAATCTCGATTTCCTTTCCTGTAAGGGTTTTTACTTTGATCATTGTTCCTCCCCTGAGCCTCAGAACAAGGTGAAGTGTTGATTCCTTTTGGATATTGTAATCTGCCAGAGTACGGCCATCTTCCAGCTGTTTGCCGGCAAATATCAGCCTTTGCTGGTCAGGAGGTATACCTTCCTTGTCCTGGGAGNAAAAAAAAAAAAAAAAAAAGGAAAAACGAAAATGGTAAGTTAGAAACATATCAATCCTGCGAAAAAAGCCCTCGTTAAAAGATGGCAAAAACATCTATAAAAGCTCACTATGAAATTCATTAATGGAAGCACTTTGCGAGTAAGTATCCAACATAAAGGATTTTTCAAACGACAAACAATGGACTTTTAGGATTTCACGCAGAAGCAATCGAGATATCTAAACATACCCTGTGAAAAATACACCAAACGGTAAAGACATCAAAAGACACTAATAGAAACTCGCTAGGGAACTTGTTAATGGAAGCCCTGTGCAAGAAAGTATCCAACACAACAGATTCTTAAACGGAAAAAATGGAATTTTATGGTTTCACACAGAAGCAATCAAGTTATATAAACATACCCTGCAAAAAATACACCAGCCCATCCTAAAAGACATCAAAGACACCTATAGAAAGCTCACTAACAAATTCATTAATGGATATCATGATTATTACTAAAATTATAGTAAAAGGCCGAGGGGAAAGCAGTTTCAACTACTACAAGGGCTAAAGAAGAGCATATTCGAGCTCAATTGATACTAATCAGACCCAAACATTTTGCACTAAATCCCCTCCAATGGAAACTAATAAAGAGCAATCAAATCAACAAATCCACTGGCAAATTCCAAAATCCAGCAACTATCTGCAGCTCGAGAACATGTTACATCAACCAACACGATCGAAAAAAAAAATCCAGCAAGATTAGAACAGATTAAAACCCCCAACACAACATTCAAGACAGCTATAATTGAATCAAAACAAAGGAAAGAAGCTATTGGGTCGACAATTAAACAACGGAAAGGACAAACCCTAGAAACGGACCTGAATCTTGGCCTTGACATTATCGATTGTGTCGCTGCTCTCGACCTCGAGCGTTATCGATTTTCCAGTTAGGGTTTTCACGAAAATCTGCATCTTCGCCTCCGCTCAATTGACGCGTAGCTTGTCTCAGATTCTTGGCTCGAAAATGCTGCGAAAGCGAAGGATATATAGATATATACAATAGGTTTTTGTTGCAAGATGATTTTTTGGCTTTTGGCGGTATTTATCAGAAAAAATCCGCCATTGTTATTTCTTGCTATTTGGGCTGCGTTGAGCTGTGGACCCTACACTTATTCTCCAATTTGATAAATCAATTCATAAGAAACATTAATTATTATTTACCTATTATTTTTAAATTAAACCGAGTTGGACACACTCCAACCGGATGGACCGAGAACCGGTTTATAATCAGTCTAGTTTGCTTGAATAAAATATTTGCTATTGAATCCTTCATTTGACTGGTAGGATCGATACGATTTTCTAAATAGATTTTGCTACATTTAAAATTATTTTAAATAAAATTACATATTTAAATAAAATAGAGATTTATAAATTTTTTATCAATTAGTTTAAACATTTGAATTTATAAATTGTTTAGATATTTAAGTAATTATAAAATATTAAAATATTTATAAATTAAAATCTAAACAAACCACAAATGATATAATAAAATAACTTTGATTGTTTTGATGAGGGTCCGATTCTAAAAACCTTATATTTACTGTATATTAATAAAATTATAATAAAATATTATTTTATTTACATAAATATTAATAAAATGATATATAAGTATCTATAAATTATTAAATATATTGTCATAAAAGGATGGCATGATTTTCCAATTATGATCTCTGATTCTATGTCCCAAAGAACAATAGTGGCATTTGCAATAGAGTCCGAGATGAGCAAATTCATCTTGTATCTATTAAAAAAAATAGCATGAAAAATTCATCAATTATGACAAAGAGAATGAAGTAAATCAAATTTTTCTTTAGAAAGACTCCTTATAAAAAAGGATATTCTATCTATTTCCAAGATAATAGTAAATAGTTATTTGAAATTTGAAATCAAAATTTGGAGATATCTGGATTTTTGGAATACTTCAAAAGAGTCCGAACTATGTGAAATTATGAAGTTGATTTGATATTGAATTCAAAATTTGTCGGAATTTGAAAAAAATTCATTAACTTTAGGTTGTTCAATTATATAAATATATGTGATTTGATTTTTTCCAATTCAAATTGTAGATGAGCCACATTTTACATCTATTATATGCGATTATTTATTATTCGATTTTATGGCAATCGAGTGGCAAGGAATTTAGAATTTTAAATTATCAATTAGATATTGCATTCGATTTTCTTTGCAATTAGTTTTTTTGAATAAAAAAGGAGAAGTCATAAAGTTTATGCCTGATTTTATAATATGACCCATTTTTAATATTTAATTATATAAAGTAAGATATGATATATAATCTAAAGTAGATTATGTTTTGATCTAAAAACTCATATATTATGCGTGCCTGTAAATTAGATACACAATAACCGATTTTTTGGGAAGTGAATTAAAACATGAAATAAAAAAATAGCTAAAAAATAACCGATTTAAGGCCAACCAATTTTTTGGGAAGTGAATTAAAACATAAAATAAAAAATAGCTGAAAATAGTATGTAATTAACATGTGTTGACTTTTTCTTCTTACTATTTATGGTAAATAGTAAATCTTTTTTATATATATATATATATAGATATATATAGTAATATAGATCTGATTTTTGTAATACTATGTTTCTTACCATTTAAGCAAACATTGACAATAAAACGAAGATAAAGTTACTTTGATTTTTACTGACGAACACCATTCGAAAATATATAATAACTCAATTATAAAAATGGAGTTCGTCATGATTTGTGCTTACGAACACCATTCGAATGGTACTCTACAATCCAAAACTCGTACTGCACATTTCGGTTAGAACAAAATTGTTTGTTGTGTCAGAAATTGATAAATAATATGACTGGAATCCAGGCATTTAATTACTTGTAAATTGGACGCAACTTGATTGAATATTATTTATTAAAAAATACTTCAAGTACCTAATAAATATATATATATATATAGGGATTGGTTCCAATGCATCCCATTATTTAAAGTGAGAACGTGAGACTCATTCCTAGCCACAAGATTTAGATCTTGATTTAAATAATAATTTTTTATTTTTATTATTTAATTCTTTATTTTTAATTATTTAAATATTATTATGACCATTGACCGTTGACTCCGGCGTTGACCGTTGACTTCCGGCGTTGACTTCCGGCGAAACTCGTTGACTTCCGGCGTTGACCGTTGACTTCCGGCGTTGACCGTTGACTTCCGACGTTGACCGTTGACCATTTGTCTTTTGTTATGTTATTTCTTTCTTGCTAGGTTAGTTGTTTGTTGTTGCTAGGTTAGCTATTTGTAGCTGCTATGTTAGTTGAGTTTTGTTGCTAGGTTATTTTTTTCTTGCTGCTAGGTTAGTTGTCTTTTGTTGCTAGGTTAGTTCTTTCTTGCTGCTAGGTTAGTTGTCTGATGCTGCTAGGTTAGTTGTCTTTTGTTGCTAGATTAGAGGTTAGTTGTCTTTTGTTGCTAGATTAGTGGTTAGTTGTCTTTTGTTGCTAGGTTAGTTCTTTCTTGCTGCTAGGTTAGTTGTCTGATGCTGCTAGGTTAGTTGTCTTTTGTTGCTAGATTATTTCTTTCTTGCTGCTAGGTTAGT